TAGTTATCATCCCGCCACCCGAGCCGTAGGGCCGGGGGCCTTGTTTCCAGTTTATCAGTAGGGAAGGTAATTCAGTAGAAGGCCCCGTGGATTCTTCTGGCTCCTGAACGTCGCTGGGGGGGGCCCCCCAAATGGAAATCTGGTATCTCCTCGGAGGACGGCAGGAGGCTACTTGCCTTACCTCGAGGGCGATTCTAGGGGTTCCCTCTCATCCATCAAGGGCCTCCAAGGAGAGAAGAGCCGCGCTCTGGGGTAGAGATACTTTGGTGCACAGGGCAGTGCAACACTTTATCTTCTCTCCGGAGTGTGTGGTTCATCATCATAGATGAGTCATCGCAAACGAGGGGCAGGAAATACCCATTGTGGCGTCGGAATATCCCCTGGATGGTAACAGGAGAAGACCAGAGCAGGGTTCAGTGTTGCTCCTCCACGAAGAGGGGGAGCGACAGTTGGCTACTGTCCCTTCCACCTCCGTGGAAGGGCAGTTCCCCCTGGCCACATTCCCCACTTCTGCAGGGGAGCGGCACACCGCCAGCCGGCTCTCTCGGGGGCTGCACAGGTGTTCCCTTAGATGTTCCCTTAGATGTTCCTGGTGCATGCCGTCTCTCCCCTCCTTTATAATCCTCCTCTGCCAATCCCAACTCGGCTGCCCACACGCCGAGTACGCTGCTCTCCTCCAATCAGGAGCAAGTCCCACAGTTTATTGGCTGAACTGGAGGCAGCTGTGCAGAAGCTGTTTTCTTCTCTCCCAGCGCCATATTGTGGGAGAGCAGATGCATAGAATAAGTCTTAATTCCAGTAACTTAGTCTAGTCCGAATTGCTCCCCACAGGAAGGAAAGTGACAGCTTCATATATCCCTTTTATTAAAAATGTACAGCCTTCTTTGAAGTTCCCTGGGAAACCACTGCATACATCTTTTTGGTCATAACTGAGTGCCATGGTCAGTTGTAGCTGTAAAAGATTGGGGATATTTAGTATCTAGCAAAGTGGGACAAGATAGTCATAAATCTGTACTAGTATTGATTCATCATATGAGCCTGGGTATGCTGCCAATCAGAATAAAGTAAAGATTCTGTTAATATGGGAGAAGGGAAGAATAGGTATTGAGAAGGAACTCAGAGTGTTTGCCAACAGTGTGAGAATAGGGTCATCAGCCTGCCACCCCACGCTGAAACATAACACCCTCCCTCCGCGATTCATGAATTAGTTATTCAAAGTCCCAGTTTGTTTCTAAGTTACAAATGCTGGATCTTTGCTTCCAGGCTTGCATTTGTCTCCTGATGGGGGCCACGGAGTATAAACCATCGTTGAACAAAATTTTGTTCTCATTTGGATTCAAATAGAATTTGTCATCTCCGAGGGGCAGATGTTATGCATCAAACAAATGACAGATTGAACACTGAGTCAAACAGTAAGTAAGACTTGGCTTATAATATGCTTATATTTGTTGGAAGAAAAAACCCAATGATGTCACCCAAGTACTTTCTGAATTAGAGTTAAAAAGTTGTTTAAATGATAAAGTAGAGGGTGACTATTTTTTTTAACTTTTATTTAATGTATATAAATTTCCAAAGTACAGCTTTTGGATTACAATGGCTTTCCTCCCCCATAACTTCCCTCCCACCTGCAACCCTCCCCTTTCCCGCTCCCTCTCCCCTTCCATTCACATCAAGATTCATTTTCAATTCTCTTTATGTACAGAAGATCAGTTTAGTATATATTAAGTAAAGATTTCAACGGTTTACACCCACATAGAAACACAAAGTGAAAAATACTGTTTGAGTACTAGTTATAGCATTAAATCACATTGAACAACACATTAAGGGCAGAGATCCTACATGAGGAGTAAGTGCACAGTGACTCCTGTTGTTGACTTAACAAATTGACACTCTTGTTTATGGCATCAGTAATCCCCCTAGGCTCTTGTCATGAGTTGCCAAGGCTATGGAAGCCTTTTGAGTTCACCGACTCTGATCATATTTAGACAAGGTCATAGTCAGAGTGGAAGTTTTCTCTTCTCTTCAGAGAAAGAGAAAAGTACCTCTTTTTTTTTTTTTTTTCATCTGCCACTTCATTTATTGTTTTTATTTGCAGGAGGAGTTGAAACAAATTTTAAGGATGTTTTTCATTTTTCCCCCCTAAACTTGAATCATCCAAGTAAAACCAACTTAACTATAGAAATGTAGCAAATAAGAGGAAAGTAGCATGGTACCTCCTTCTTTGATGACCTGTTCTTTCCACTGGGATCTCACTCGCGGAGATCTTTCATTTAGTTTTCATATCATTGTTCTTATGACAGAGTGTCTTGGCTTTCCATGCCTAAAATACTCTCATGGGCTTTTCAGCCAGATCCGAATGCCTTAAGGGCTGATTCTGAGGCCAGAGTGCTGTTTAGGACATCTGCCATTCTATGAGTCTGCTGTGTATCTCGCTTCCCATGTTGGATCGTTCTCTCCCTTTTTTATTCTATCGGTTAGTATTTGCAGACACTAGTCTTGTTTATGTGATCCCTTTGACTCTTAGTCCTATCATTATGATCAATTGTGAACAGAAATTGATCACATGGACTAGTGTGATGGCATTGGTACACACCACCTTGATGGGATTGAATTGGAATCCCTGGTATGTTTCTAACTCCACCACTTGGGGCAAGTCAGCTTGAGCATGTCCCAAACTGTACATCTCTTCCTTCTTTTATTCCCACTCTTATATTTAACAGGGATCACTTTTCAGTTAAGTTTCAACACTTAAGAATAACTGTGTATTAATTACAGAATTCAACCAATAGTATTGAGTAGAACAAACAAAAAAATACTAAGAGGGATAATGTATTAAGTTGTACATCAACAGTCAGGGCAAGGGCTGATCAAGTCACCATTTCTTATAGTGTCCATTTCACTTGAACAGGTTTCCTTTTTGGTGCTCAGTTAGTTGTCACCGATCAGGGAGAACATATATTTGTCCCTTTGGGACTGGCTTATTTCACTCAGCATAATGTTTTCCAGATTCCTCCATTTTGTTACAAATGACCGGATTTCATTGTTTTTCACTGCTGTATAGTATTCTATAGAGTACATATCCCATAATTTCTTTATCCAGTCTACTGTGTGATGGGCATTTAGGTTGATTCCAGGTCTTAGCTATTGTGAATTGAGCTGCAATAAACGTTAATGTGCAGACAGCTTTTTTGTTTGCCAATTTCATTTCCTTTGGGTAAATTCCAAGGAGTGGGATGGCTGGGTTGAATGGTAGGGTTATATTCAGGTTTCTGAGGAATCTCCAGACTGACTTCCATAGTGGCTTGACCAGTTTGCATTCCCACCAACAGTGGGTTAGTGTCCCTTTTTCCCCACATCCTCGCCAGCATCTGTTGTTGGTAGATTTCTGAATGTGAGCCATTCTAACCAGGGTGAGGTGAAACCTCACTGTGGTTTTGATTTGCATTTCCCTGATTGCTAGTGATCTTGAACATTTTTTCATGTGCTTGTTGGCCATTTGGATTTCCTCTTTTGAAAAATGTCTATTGAGGTCCTTGGCCCATCTCTTAAATGGGTTGTTTGTTTTGATGTTGTGGAGTTTCTTGATCTCTTTGTAGATTCTGGTTATTAACCCTTTATCTGTTGCATAGTTTGAAAATATTTTTTCCCATTCTGTCGGTTGCCTCTTCACTTTCCTGTTTCTTTTGCAGTACAGAAACTTCTCAATTTGATGCCATCCCAATAGTTAATTTTGGCTTTGACTGCCTGCGCCTCCAGGGTCTTTTACAGGAAGTCTTTGCTGGTGCCAATATCTTGCAGGGTTTCTCCAATGTTCTCTAATAATTTGATGGTGTCAGGTCATAGACTTAGGTCTTTAATCCATGTTGAGTGGATTTTTGTGTAAGGTGTAAGGTAGGGGTATTGCTTCATGCTTCTGCACATGGAAATCCAGTTTTCCCAGCAAGAGGGTGGCTATTAACAGGTCCTATGAAAGTGATGGTGAGGATAGTGGGGACAGGGTCTGCTGGTTTGGACTTGGACGGGACAGTACTAGAGATAGTGACAGGACTAAGGTGGTGGTGGCAGCTAGGGATGAATGGAAAGGGGAAGATACTCAGAAGTGAGTGTGTGTGTGGAGCAGACAGAGGTCAGGCGGGTGGTGTGGCAGCTGAGAGCACCATGACTCGGCCCTGGTGGCTTAGTCTGTAACCTGGCTGGGGTGACAGCAGAGGCGCGGCTGGTCACATCGGAGTCTGACAGGTAAGTCGTGAAGGAGGAGGTTCACCCCGAGGGTCTCTCACTTGAAGCAGCCTAGTCCTTTGCCTCCTTCCTTTCATTCTTTACTGAGATTAAGACTCATCTGGGAGCAGTACCTGGAGTGCTCTAAGCCCCAGTGCACATGTGGTGAGTTTTCGTGTACACATACGACCTTGGGAACCAATGCCGGGTATAAGTACCAGATTGGAGTCCCAGAGCCACAGAGAAGTTCAGTAGGACTAAGAAATGCTAATCACCGGGGCTTTAAGAATAAAGATCACTTTTATCTTATTTTTTAAATTTCAAATTTTTATGTTTTTTAATTTATTTGGAAGGGAGAGACAGAGAGAAAGAGAGAGACTGACCTCCTCTGCTGTTTCATTCTCTAACTGGCCACACTGGGCCAGGCCAAAGCCAGGAGCTGAAAACTTCATCCAAGCTTCTCACCTGGATGGCAGGGACCGAGATACCTGAGCCGTCACCTCCTGTCCCCAGAGCAGGCATTTGGGGGAAGCTGGAATTGGGAGCAGAGTGAGGACTGGAACCTAGGCACCCCAGTATGAAATGGGGGTGTTCCAGGCAGCATCTAAGCTTCTGGGCCAAATGCCCGAAAACTCTCAAACTTGAAGTCTTATGGGAGTTAGGTGGTTGAAGTCAATGAGGGAGATAGATGAGGTGGAAGCTGTCATGATTAATTGGAAATGATGTTGAGTTTCTAACTTCTTATGTTATAAATACGTGCAGTAAATAGTTTTGTAGCTGAAGTTATTTTTACCATCTTAGGACATTTCCTTAAGATAAATTCACTTAGATAAAATACATAAAATTATATTTAAACCTTTTAATTTACAGTGTCAAATTTGTTTATCAAAACTTGGTGGCTACAGGAATGCCGCCACACAGCACAAAACACGGGTCTGGCCAGGGCTGTTTCCCCTCGATGGCTTCCCAATGAGCTAGCGCAGCCGGGATCCTGACCCTGGGAGACGCAGGGCTCCCGGGAGGGCTGCCGTTCCTGGAACACACCTCCTTCCCCGTGCTGAGCTTGCCTCAGACGGCCAGGCCGGCCGGGGTGCTCAGCTCCACCTGCTCTGCCTTCACTGAGGTGCAGGCCGCATCGTGGTCTGCTGGTTCTCTCGACCCCCGTCAGCTCCATCTCCAGAATGCACTTGCGTGTCTCATCCAATCTTCGTGTCTGCTTCTCTAAAGACCCAGACAAACACAGTTATATTTGCTTCTGCTTAGTCCCTTAGCTGATCTGTAAGTGTGACAACTGGACTTTGTCTTTGTCAGCGTCACTTAGTTCTCACATCCTTGATACTTTGAGGAAGGAAGAGAAGCATCTGATATGAACTTGCACTTAATGCTGAGGTTTCACGTTTTTGTCACGTGCCCTTCAGGCGTTTGGATATTCTTGCCTGTAGATTGCCCTTGAGGACTCCACAGAAACATAGCACTTGCCCTGAAAAGGCACCTGTTGGGAGGTATGGTCTCCATCGGCTTTTCCCATGGTGGTGTCCAGTGCTCAGTAATTGGTTTCAGTAGGGAGGTGACACTGACTGCTACCCAGTTGAGTGACTCATGAGGGAGCCCTTGACTGCATGATCCTGCAATGACCTTGTCTGCTCCTCTTTGTGAAGTGTAAGGAGCCAGCCATGTGTTCTGCACATGAGTAAATAAAAGGCTAGCACGTGTACTGCGACCACCATGTGCCAGGTACTTCCCTTCCCACATTTAATCCTATATAGTTGGTATTTGCAATTGGGCAGTTTTTCATGACTGTAACCAAATACTGGAGGCAGACTACTTTGTAAAGACATGAGGTTCATTTTGGCTCTGGCTTCTGAAGGTGCTAGGTCTAGGGGCCTAGCACCTGGTGTTGGCCTAGCACCTGGTGTTGGCTTCTTGCAGGTGGAGTCCTAAGGGGGCACAGAGCATCACACAGCCAGAGATAGGGAGTGCAGATGTTCATCTGTCCCTGTGTGATCTTCTCCTTAGAGAGCCTTTCAGGATTCAAACATGGGGCCCCAGCCAATCACTAGTCAATCACTTCCCGAAAGCCCATGGTTGGATTAAGACTATGAGGATTAAACGGCGTGAGTTCCGAGGGCCAAATCCACGTTCATACCATAGCAGTGCTATTTTCAGTATTTTAATGATGAGAAAAATTATGTTC